CACAACTTACTCGATGTGAATCATGCGCGAGTATATCAGAAAAATGAGCCATTCATTTTAGCTCAACAAGTTGCTCAAGTTTATTACGCAGAATATCCGACAACAAAGCAGAGAATATCTCCTTGGGTTTGCGCATGCACTATTAGACCGAGAAAAGTTGTTTCTCATGCAATACATATGAATGTCGATATTGACGTTTACCAACAAGAGTTTTTTCTCACTCCGGTTCCACAAACTATTGATGGGGAACTTCATTTGGAAGATTTTACTGGAGCAGAAATAGAGCCTAATCCCAACGATGGGAACGATGACTCCAACGAAGGAGGTGAGTATGAAGAAGAATGGAACTTCCAACGGAAGATACAGATGAAGATGATTACGTTGACAATATTGATAAAGATGCTCAAGATGAAGATGAATGAACAATATGAAATTAGTAGTTGTTTTGCATTTTGTAGTTATGCTTCTCCTGAATAATGTTTGCATTTCAACTTGTACTAAATAAAAGCTTTTCGTATTATTTGCGACATTTATCAAAACTATTATTAAATTTCAAGTATCATAATCTAAATTTATATTTAATAAGTAATACCATAACAATAACATTAACTTAGAGTAGAATTTTATTAGTCTAACAACAACATACATGGACACATATTTAAACATTATTATTAGATAAATATATCAACATACACCACAAACACATACAGAAATTCGATTATTACAAACGGCACGCAACGAAATACAACATTAAACGATACAACATTTCCGTCTTCATCATGTTGGTTTGCTATCAACTTCTTTCTCAACAAAGCCCTCAATACTGCTGATCGCAGGTTCATCAGGTTGTGTCAATAAGTAGTTAATTTCTTCAGCATCATCATCATCAATAGGTTTCAGATATTTAAGTATATGTTGCATTGTATCAATCTTTTTCCCTAAACCATCCCAATCGGGCTTTATTTCTGCAGTTACTTCTTTTTTCCCATTGCTTTTTCTGAAGGTCCTTCTTTTTTTCCATTTTCCTAATTTTTTCCCTAAACCATCCCAAAACTTATGTACTTGACTAGCCCTATTTCTACTAAAAAATGACTCTTTGGCACGAAAAATAGCGAGACTAAACCGTGCCAAACCTCTCCCGAAACATCCCTATCTGACGCCTCGTTACTGACAGTTCTGAGCTTTCTGACGCGTGTACAGTTTGGCTCGGCATATGCTGTGCCAAAACTGACACAAATTTGAAATTTCAATTCCCGGTGCGGACGTTTTGAATTACGGGGTGATGGGAGGGTTTTTGCGTCAGCTTATATCCGAGCCAATATCGAAAAGTCTATTCGAAGAGTCTGGAATAAATTTGTCTTCGATTATCCGTGCCAAATTCCTTGCCAATTTATGAAATATTTAAGTCGTACTTTGCCATTTTCGTAACTTTCTGAACCCTAATACCGTACAACCATCCCCACCCTTCATCTTCCTTTACTCTGCGAGCCGTTCTCATCGTTCTAGCCTTTCCAAAAAGTTCCCGCCGTTCTCGCCGTTCCAACCGTTCAAGTTGTTTTGCTGTTGAAGCCGTTCCCACCATTCAAGCCGTTCAAGCTGCCCATTCAGGTTATACTATACGAAGCCTCTCATTGCATTATTAGGTTAATAATGGTATTTTTTTGAAATTTTTTTTATGAATGTTTTCATAATTTCAAAATTTATCATTTCTTTCGTGAACTCTTTATACGAACTGTGTTAATTGAATTTAAGGAGCAGTGAACTTCGTTCATATTTGTATTCGTTAATTGAATTTTATGAACCGTGAACTGAATTTTATACTTAATATGAATTGTATGTGCATTCGTTCTTTTTCGTGAAGTTATATGAACTGATTTACCTGAAGTTTATGAACTGATTTTGTATTATTTGGTGAATTCTTTGGGTATTCTATTCATATTATGCGTATGTGGATACGACTGTTGTTTATACTTGATATGATTTGTATGTGCATTCGTTCTTATTCGTGAAGTTATCTGAACGGATTTACCCAAAGTTTATGAAGTGATTTTATATTATTTGGTGAATTCTTTGGGTATTCTGTTCATATTATGCATAAGTGGATACGGCTGTTGTTTATACTTGATATGATTTGTATGTGCATTCATTCTTATTCGTGAAGTTATCTGAACTGATTTACCCAAAGGTTATGAACTGATTTTGTATTATTTGGTGAATTCTTTGTGTATTGTGTTTATATTATGCGTATGTGGATACGTCTGTTGTTTATACTTGATATGATTTGTATGTGCATTTGTTCTTATTCGTGATGTTATATGAACTGATTCGTATGTGTTTAAGTCTGTTATGAACCAAACAAATTGTTTGAGTTTTAGACTTCATGTTTGTTGCTAGAGGAAGTTTCAGTTCTTTCTGGGGAGGTCGGGGAGGTTGGGGGAGTCGAGGAGGTTGGGGGGATTCTCTGAACCAAAATCTTGACCCAAATTCTCATGTTGCTGCTTCCCTTGAATCTGTTCAATCTCGAGCACTGAAGGATGAACCTTCTGATCACAGTGGCCATGAGTCTGTCCAGAATGTGTCAAAAATCTGGATCTTACCCCATGAAATGCGCATGTATGGTTGCTTTTTATGTTGCCCGTGTTTATTTATATTATTTCTTGAATATCTGTATTAATTTGGAATAGTAATCATGTGTACGTAGCAACCCTATTGTCCTGAACTCTACAATTTCGATCATTACCAACAATTTCCATGGGTCGTGGCACTCATTCAAGCATGCAGATGCAGATCAACAACAACACCGGTGGCAGTTGTTTGAGGTACTTTTTTAAATAGGCTGATTTCAATTAAAAAGTCTTTATATTTAAAAACACTTTAATTTTATACGTACATTAATTAAATATGCTTATTTACTGTAGAGAAAGTATGAGTGTGACACATGCTACAATAACAGAATCAAGAAGAGATTTCGTTCTAGGTCATCTGAATGGTTAAGCAAGAACATTGGCCAGGCAAGACGGCAGAACAAGAAGCCTGATTGGATATGTGACGGTGACTGGATGTTGTTGAAAGAGTATTGCGGGTCTGATTCATTCAAGAAGAAGAGTGCTGCCGGGAAGAAAAACCGCAACTCCCAGAAGGCGAAGGAGTCACAGTATCGTGGCGGGCGGATTCCGGTTAATAGACATGTTGAAAAAATGGTAAGTTCCTAGCTACTTCTCTTGTGTAGTTGAATTATTAGAAATAAATTATGATATATTAGCAATAAATTATGATATATTTATCATTGCTGTGTTAATAGACCAAAGATTTGAATCGGGCTCCTCTGAAGACTGAAGTGTATGAGAAGGTGTATGTTCCTAAGGAAGGTGACCCTCCACAGCGTGTTGTTGAAACTCGGGTATGCTCAAAAAATATTCTGAACAAATATTAAATTTAAAGTCTGCTATGATTTTTTCTGAATATCAAAGTTACTGACATATTTGTATCATCTGCAGCAAAAGTACAATGAGTTGAAGGTGCGGGCTGAATCTCAAGGGAAATCGTACGACGTTGATGATTCTGAGCTTTTCTGCCAGGTGGTTCCCACTTATCGAGGATGGCGGTACGGGACGGGTCTGAAGCGGAGTCTCTTTCCGGAAGCGTAGAATGTTCAAGCCGGTACTCGGGTCCCACCCAACAGGAGATTGATGCTCTTATCCAAACACAAGTGGAAGCCCAATTCACGCAACACGAGAAAGTTTGGCAAGAGCAGATGGAGAACATGTCCAACACTTTTATGTCGGTTTTGCGACAAGTCCAAACCTCTAACCCATCTGTCACGATGCCTAATCTGGAAGCTTTGCGTACCCCGACTCTTGTTCCGATGAACTGCCTCCATGATTCTCCTGAAGTTCGAATGGATGGACTGTTTTCCGTTGTTGGCCTTGTTTAATGTTTTATGGACATCTTATTAATCATCTTATTAATTTCTGTTATGGACATCTTCTATTTTTTTTTCTGAAAAAAAAATTATGGCCATGCCAATATGGCATGTTGAAACATTGTTTTTAATTATGTTTATATTGCACAACTCGATCAGTTTTATTTTACATATATGGCATGTTTTATTTGTTCAGTTTGCAATGATACATGTATTTGCTTTATTAGTGTTTGAATCTGTATTGGTGTACAAAATTTACTGTTTGGTTGAAATCAAAAAACGTATACCGTATATATGTACGTACGCCGTACATATATACGGTATACGTTTTTTGAATCTCATCACGTTTGGCTCGGAAATAGCCGTCGCAATACTTGACACAGGCGTGTAAGACTGTGTCAAGGAATCCGTACTAAAAACCGTGCCTAAATGAAATCCGAGCCAAATTTTTGGTGAATACGTTGTACGCTACATGCATGCAATGGTCCCAACCGAAATCCCAGCCAAGATGTGCGACAGATCCTTAAAACTGAGCCAACACGTTTGGCTCGAGCTAGGTGGCACGGAATTGAAAAACGTGCCAAATCTGAGCCAAGACTGTTCGTCTGAGAAATTCGTGAAGGGATCCCTGCATATATCGGTGCCTATTTCGCGTTTTTTTGGTAGTGTATGGATGATAAAGTTTGCACATTGAGAATTTCATTTTCACCATACTGACAACTTTGTACAATTTTCGAAGAAAGCAATTTTTGTGATGATAAACTTTGCAATAACAATCAATAAAAGTCAAGGATAAATGTCATCACATAAAGTTTGATTTATACCTTCAGACATAAGTTTCATTAATGACCAATTGTGCATTGCAATACCAAGAGTAATGAGTAAAGACATCTTAAGAGGCATACTTTCAAAAGAAGCAAATTTATTCACCAAGACGGTGAATATTGTTTACAAGGAGGTTTCCCAAAACTGAACAATGTGATGTTTGGTGTGTGCAGTGTTACATTACAATGTCATTTTTTTAATATATTGTCTTTAATTAAATTACTATCCACAGACCACAATTAGCGAACGTTTGTTTGAAGTAAAATGACGAATTATTTATATATTTTATAAAATATATCTTACAAAGTATTCAAACATTCACAACATTCGCTCAGGGCAACGCCCGAGTAAACAAACTAGTATTAAAGTAATGGATTCCACTTACGTAATGCACATTACATTACGGTTTAAAATATAATGACATACCATACATTCTATTTGAATCAACACGTAATGTTCGTTACATTACATGATTGATTACATCATACCAAACATAGCCTTATTATTTGTATTTCATCATCATCGTTGTCGTCGTCATCATCGTCGTCGTCGTCGTCATCATCATCATCTAAGTTTGATTTGATCGGACCCAATGTGATCTAATTTCATGTGGACTAATTTCATGTTTTTAAGTTCATGTGGATTAGTGAAATTAAAAACATTTTGCCTATACTCCTTTAAAAGCAAAAAGTTCTTGGTGCCATTTACGAATTAAAACAAGAATCAGTACAAATTAAAAAAGAGAGAGAATCTTGCTTGTCCATCTCTTTCAGCTGTTTAAGTTCGCAGAGGCATTGATTCAATGATTCTCCCGTGGACCGAAATAGCGGCACATCTAGCTGATACGGTGCAGGCGTATTGATTCAATTTCTGTCGAATGATGAATCATATTATTCCTAGTTATTCTTTCGCCTTATTCGGGATTAGTTGTTGGGAGGGAAATTGTTGAAAGAAAATCACTTGCATTTTTTGAAAAGTTCTAGTTATAGGAATATAATTGACCAAATTAAAGATTTTTTCTGATTATATGATACATTTGTTATTTTCAATTCTGCTTTTCTATTAAAATTTTCGGTGATTATGTGAAACCAAGATTCGATTTGAGTGTTGAACATTTAAACCTATGTGTAATTTGATATGATGAAACTACCACATAACTAAATTAGGTGTGTAATATACAAAATAATAAATTTTGGGAAATAATGACTTACCCTCTTGGGTGATTTAGCATAATATTTATAATAAAATAGAGTTATGGAAATTACAAGGTAATCCCTAAATATTACATTATTATGTAATAAAAGAATGTTTTTATTCGGATTGAAAATTTCTACTCGAATCTGGTCTGGTATTTATTATTTTATAATTGTTAAAGTCTAATATGATCTGATCTAGTTTCACACTAAAATAAGTCCAATTAAAAAACATACTCGTATTAACTTTGTCACTTTTTTTATTATTAAAGAATTTGTGGTAACCCTTAATTGATTAATTCTATACTTCTCTCTTCTATAGAAAACTCACCTACTTTTCATATACCAATCAAACTCCGTCAAGTTTTAAAGGGACAAGGAAGTGATAGATACCGGAAACCTTCCTAGAATATGACAAGATAATTTTTATCTTCCGACTTCGGACTGTCCTAGCAACCATGTTTTTTGAAGTATGTTTATGGTTAATGTTGTACAATTGTAGTGCAAATTGTGCAATGCACCATGCCATAATGCCTTAATGCCATATTACCATTTTTGTAGTTGGATACTTTTGTTGGAACCTTATACTTTATCAGATCGTTTCCAAGTTTAAATTCTTGGATTGTACCAATTTTTTGAGTTAATGATACCTTTATTGCTTTGTTTGCAAAAAGAAAAATCCGTGTTGCTTGGTTTGCAGAAAAAATGCCTGTCCCTTTTGTAATCTGATTTTTTTTTTATCGTTGTCATCTGAAATTTTAAATTAACCCAAACCCCGATCCATCCCGACTGAAATTTGGTAAAATTGAATCAGGTAACATACAAATCATCCTACATTTTAGCAGTAACACATTGGAAAACAAAAATTGCTATGGGAATAATGAAAAAAGAAACAGTAATAATACAAATAATACAAATAATTATAGTTAGCACACACACGTTATACAGTGTATAGATGGAAAGCAGTGTAGCGCAATTTAAGCATAATTAATTAAAAAACTCTATAATACTAGGTAGGTTATAGTGCATTGACTAGTTTTTTCGTGTTGTTCGTCATCATCGTATATTAATTAATTAATTGATCAGAAATTCTTGAGCAATTGCCGGACCTGTTCCAGTGTGACAAAGAGCACCACAGTGAATGGTCCTTGCCTTGAAATGGTGGGAATGAATCCCTTGTACAGAGCCATGGGTCCCTCTGCTTTGATGGTTTTCACCGCACAGTCAAGTGCGCCGGCGTACGGCGGCGCCTTCCCCGCCTCCACCTTCATGTTCATCATCCGCGTCTTCAGCACGTCCACCGGGTTCGACGCCACCGCCGCCACGAACCCGGCGGCGAAGCTCGCCGTGACGTGCGTTCCCAGCCCGTCTTTCAAGATTCCCTTTTCCACGATTGTCTCCTTGATCTGGTCGTACGAGGCGAGCTGCGACGCCGTCACGAGCATGGCTCGGTTCACCGTAAGGGATGAGCCGCGCCACAGGCTAGTGACCCCCTCGTTCTTGGCCATCTGTGAAATGGCGTCCACGACGCTCTTATAGTTCCGTCTCTGAGCGGCCGGG